ACTGTGGTGACCCTACAAGGCACGATCCAGCTCCTATTTGCAAAAGGAAGGTCACGAGCGCAAAATCTGGATCTTCCCGAAGTAGGTAACCAGAAATCAAAACAAATGTCTAGTGTTGGTATTTTAAAAGCTCCTATGATGGGGAGGTACGTGCATTTCTGAGACCCACACCTACACTGCACAGCCAGCCACAGAGATGACTCAGAGAGCTAACTTGCTCCCCGTATCGACTGTGAAAATAGGCAATGTCCAACCGTGACCACCTTGCTCGACTTTGATAAGGGCAAGGACACCAAGGGAAGAACATGTGGGTAAAACGTTGAACTAAAAGCTGCCCTTAACATCAACAGAAAAAACTGGAAACCAAACGGAATCAGGAGACACAGAAATGCACCACCCGGGTCCCCTCCTTCTGGAGCACGCTGCCATTCAGGAGCACAGGCCTCCGAGCCAGACAGGACAAGCCACACCTGGGCTCTGTCACCTGCAGGCTTCGTGACCCTCCAACCACCTCAGACTCCTCCTTGGTAGACCCTTCAGGGCAGATGTGGAAGTGATCACAACACAAGAGCATCTGCCAGGCCTTGGACACAGGTGCCCTCCAGCCAGTGCAGGCGCCCCCTCCTGGCTCTTCCTGGGTAATGACAGCTTTGAAAGTCCAGGTCAGCCTTTGCAGGCGCAGAGAGAAACACACCAGGGGGAGAGCGGGCGTGGGTGCACCATAATGAGAACGGCCAGTGCATGGAGGGAACGGAGTTGGCAGAAATGATCAGATAATGAAACACCTTATATCTTTCCAAAGAGGTGAATCATTTTCTTTTAGGTGTCAAATGAATAGCCAAAAGTATCACAATCAAAATCTATCATGGAAAAATCCAGACAGGTACTCACTTCAAATGAGGAGTAGCTTCTAATGATGCAAAAGCCTCTGTGACAGTGAGTCACCGACAGTTAGGGAGTAAACACGCTCTCCCCCGCAGCGCCTGCTGATCTCCAGAAGTCCTAACGAGCTACAGGTTTACTGCATCTCAAACACGCTGAGACACCAGCCCTCACTTACGTCTCCTTAATTCTGAAATCCAATTCTCAATGCGGGCACTTCACCAGCGTCATTTCAGAAGTTGAACTTCGGAAAATACATGCACTCAGAAGAGGGGGACGCACCAGACACACACAGAAATATCTTACAGCCTTGAGTGTATTCGTTGTCTCGGTCCTCGTCTCCCTTCACTTCCCGTCAGTAAAGTGCAGTCACCAAGCACCGCAGATGACAAGAGGTTCCTCAGAACTCACGTCGCTTAGATAAGAGACTCCATTTAGCTTTCTCCCATGAACTGCAATTAAGTTTGTTTAGCCCTTTTTTATTTATTGCCAAAGGGCAACTTTAATGAAGTCATGTCTGCGGCGACACTTCCCTTTGCTCTGACCGCTGGGGCACAAGTTTAGACTCAGTAAAACGAGAGGCGTCAGTTATGGCCAAACCGAGGTGCGTGGGCCCCCCTGTGCTTCCTGACTGGGTGGGGATGGAGAGAAGTCGTCATCTGATCTCCATGTGTGAAGTCGGGCTTTAGGAGAACCTGCCAGTCCTCGGGCCTTCCGAGCCCACCCTCGGCCTCCAGGCTCAGGACTTACCGGACACATTGACGGAGGCCCCCGCGTCGATGACCCCGCTGTTGGGCCTCACGCAGTACCTGCGTGGCGCCGTGGTCTTCACTTTGAAACACACGTTTCGGTCTGTCGGGTTGCCAAGCTTTAGGTTGGTGGTGACCACATCAGTGAAGGGACCTGTGGGAGGACACAGAGACTGACTGGGGACCTTGTGAGGAAGGGTAGAGACAGGCTGCTTCTGGTGGGAAAGAACACAGTAAGTGTCTAGAAGACAGGATTCCCAGGTGTGCACCAACACGCCAAGGAAGGGGGCGGTGGCCGAGTTCTGCACCAGCCGACGGCCTCCGCCGACCAGGCCGCACTGCTTCCGGGTGCCGAGGACGTGCTCTGGCCTACGGCGTCTCCCGGCACCTGTCGATGGCAGGGTTATTGCTGAGCTATTGACGGGGCGGCGGGGTCCAGGAAGACAATCACCTACCCGGTTTCCACGCTAATTAGGAGCAGGCAGGAGCTGGACCGAGGGCGGCGCCATGGCCTGCCCTCTCCTCTGCTGAATATTGATCTCCATGCTTACAAGATGAAATCTCACAGGGAGCGCAAAAAGGACTAAACTTAGGTCCCAAATGATGATCACTGAGAGCGTGCCAAGAGCAGCAGAGGTGGGAAGACTCCAAGGTGTTAATGGTCTGCCAACCCAGAAACTCCCACAGATGGGGCTGCTGCCAGCAAAGTTCCCATCCCCCTAGGCTGCAGCCAGCGTCCAGGCCCCACTGGACTCAGACTCACCACACCCCTGCTAGCTGCCCGGGCCGCTGGGGAGAGCAGCAAGCTCAGTGCCCTGCAGATATTTTTGATCACTATTATTTATTCATTCCCTACTTTATTAGATTTTTTAATTAAAAAGTAAAACATGCTTCTTAAAACAAACCAGACAATAAAAGATGCATAAAGAGGAAGTTACTAAGCTTTCCTCTGTCCCCCGAGGTAACAAGTATTAACAATACTGAAGCTCTTCCGCATCGTCTATGTGCACACACGCAACAAGCCCCACACACGTGTGCAGGTGGGGCTGAGAGGACTGAGGTCACACGGCCCGCATTACTCCCAGCCTCGCCTTTATCCCCTAGACTCCTGACCGCTGGGCTTCCTAAGGACTCAGGTGGGAGGGCTGAACTACAAGGGCTCTCAGATACTTTCAATCTTTTCAAATTTATGTATTTTCTGCACGTCAAGCAGCATCTTTGTATTTCCTCCAGGCAAATGCTGGGTTGTCCAGTCGTGACATGCTTTTTTCTGTTTTCCTACACAAAGATGCATCATGACTTTTCTGACAAAACCCAGTACTCTGGGCCTGTATGTCACTTAACGGAAACGGGACACAGGTGGGGAGGGAGGGGTGCTGTGTGCACAGACAGACCCACAACGCAGGGTCCATCTGCCCAAGGAAGAGAGGAACACAGGCGCGGCCGCCTGGGCATCTGCAGCACCGAGTCCGGCCACCCGGGAGGGGCTCCCTACACCCCAAGAAGCAAACGACCTGCGGGTCTCTAAGTCTCGGGCTGCTCCCCTCCTCTGGAGATGCTCAAAGGACTACAAAGCAGCTTGAAAGCAATAATACTCAGGCACACACACGCACACAAGCTACCTTAAACGCGAAGTACGGAATCAGTGCCGTTAAGGAAGGAGAGGGGCTCCACTCCACAGGGCAGCCAGCCCGGCCCAGGGCTTGCTCTGAGAGCAGAGCTGCGCTCCCATGACGGACGCGCCGGCGGACAATCTGAGCAGAAAGACGCTCACATCTGTTTATGCAGGAGTGCGTCTGCGAGAAGCACTCGGTGAACACAGAAGCTGCGCCCAGCTGCACGGAACACGCTGCAGCCCCCCACAGGCGCCCTGCAGGCCTCTCGGTTTGTGGCAGTAACGGTAAGGAGCAGCCTAGTCACTCCGCAGTCACAACTTCCCGCCGGCCGGGGAGCGGGAGCCCCCTCTGGCATCAGGGCGCCCACGGGCTGCACCTCTCCCATGCTCACACCCACAGGCATGGGCAGACGCGGGCACCTTGAGGTAGAGGGCCTGCCTGCTGCAGTCTCTGCTGCTCGGGTCAGGTTGCTATCCTCGTGGGTGTGTCCAGAGAAGGTTTCTGAGTGAGGCTCACCTAACCACATTTCCCCCACAAACAGCACGGGGGGCTGTGCTGTCATTTCAAGGTTTTTGCCACAGCGCTCGGAGAGGGAAAGTGAGAAACCACCTCTGGGGTGGAGGCATGGCCACGCTGTCATCCTTTCTGCATTCTCCTCTCGGGATCTTGGACACGCATGCACACACACTGGGTATCTGCCAGGCCTTGGACACAGGTGCCCTCCAGCCAGTGCAGGCGCCCCCTCCTGGCTCTTCCTGGGTAATGACAGCTTTGAAAGTCCAGGTCAGCCTTTGCAGGCGCAGAGAGAAACACACCAGGGGGAGAGCGGGCGTGGGTGCACCATAATGAGAACGGCCAGTGCATGGAGGGAACGGAGTTGGCAGAAATGATCAGATAATGAAACACCTTATATCTTTCCAAAGAGGTGAATCATTTTCTTTTAGGTGTCAAATGAATAGCCAAAAGTATCACAATCAAAATCTATCATGGAAAAATCCAGACAGGTACTCACTTCAAATGAGGAGTAGCTTCTAATGATGCAAAAGCCTCTGTGACAGTGAGTCACCGACAGTTAGGGAGTAAACACGCTCTCCCCCGCAGCGCCTGCTGATCTCCAGAAGTCCTAACGAGCTACAGGTTTACTGCATCTCAAACACGCTGAGACACCAGCCCTCACTTACGTCTCCTTAATTCTGAAATCCAATTCTCAATGCGGGCACTTCACCAGCGTCATTTCAGAAGTTGAACTTCGGAAAATACATGCACTCAGAAGAGGGGGACGCACCAGACACACACAGAAATATCTTACAGCCTTGAGTGTATTCGTTGTCTCGGTCCTCGTCTCCCTTCACTTCCCGTCAGTAAAGTGCAGTCACCAAGCACCGCAGATGACAAGAGGTTCCTCAGAACTCACGTCGCTTAGATAAGAGACTCCATTTAGCTTTCTCCCATGAACTGCAATTAAGTTTGTTTAGCCCTTTTTTATTTATTGCCAAAGGGCAACTTTAATGAAGTCATGTCTGCGGCGACACTTCCCTTTGCTCTGACCGCTGGGGCACAAGTTTAGACTCAGTAAAACGAGAGGCGTCAGTTATGGCCAAACCGAGGTGCGTGGGCCCCCCTGTGCTTCCTGACTGGGTGGGGATGGAGAGAAGTCGTCATCTGATCTCCATGTGTGAAGTCGGGCTTTAGGAGAACCTGCCAGTCCTCGGGCCTTCCGAGCCCACCCTCGGCCTCCAGGCTCAGGACTTACCGGACACATTGACGGAGGCCCCCGCGTCGATGACCCCGCTGTTGGGCCTCACGCAGTACCTGCGTGGCGCCGTGGTCTTCACTTTGAAACACACGTTTCGGTCTGTCGGGTTGCCAAGCTTTAGGTTGGTGGTGACCACATCAGTGAAGGGACCTGTGGGAGGACACAGAGACTGACTGGGGACCTTGTGAGGAAGGGTAGAGACAGGCTGCTTCTGGTGGGAAAGAACACAGTAAGTGTCTAGAAGACAGGATTCCCAGGTGTGCACCAACACGCCAAGGAAGGGGGCGGTGGCCGAGTTCTGCACCAGCCGACGGCCTCCGCCGACCAGGCCGCACTGCTTCCGGGTGCCGAGGACGTGCTCTGGCCTACGGCGTCTCCCGGCACCTGTCGATGGCAGGGTTATTGCTGAGCTATTGACGGGGCGGCGGGGTCCAGGAAGACAATCACCTACCCGGTTTCCACGCTAATTAGGAGCAGGCAGGAGCTGGACCGAGGGCGGCGCCATGGCCTGCCCTCTCCTCTGCTGAATATTGATCTCCATGCTTACAAGATGAAATCTCACAGGGAGCGCAAAAAGGACTAAACTTAGGTCCCAAATGATGATCACTGAGAGCGTGCCAAGAGCAGCAGAGGTGGGAAGACTCCAAGGTGTTAATGGTCTGCCAACCCAGAAACTCCCACAGATGGGGCTGCTGCCAGCAAAGTTCCCATCCCCCTAGGCTGCAGCCAGCGTCCAGGCCCCACTGGACTCAGACTCACCACACCCCTGCTAGCTGCCCGGGCCGCTGGGGAGAGCAGCAAGCTCAGTGCCCTGCAGATATTTTTGATCACTATTATTTATTCATTCCCTACTTTATTAGATTTTTTAATTAAAAAGTAAAACATGCTTCTTAAAACAAACCAGACAATAAAAGATGCATAAAGAGGAAGTTACTAAGCTTTCCTCTGTCCCCCGAGGTAACAAGTATTAACAATACTGAAGCTCTTCCGCATCGTCTATGTGCACACACGCAACAAGCCCCACACACGTGTGCAGGTGGGGCTGAGAGGACTGAGGTCACACGGCCCGCATTACTCCCAGCCTCGCCTTTATCCCCTAGACTCCTGACCGCTGGGCTTCCTAAGGACTCAGGTGGGAGGGCTGAACTACAAGGGCTCTCAGATACTTTCAATCTTTTCAAATTTATGTATTTTCTGCACGTCAAGCAGCATCTTTGTATTTCCTCCAGGCAAATGCTGGGTTGTCCAGTCGTGACATGCTTTTTTCTGTTTTCCTACACAAAGATGCATCATGACTTTTCTGACAAAACCCAGTACTCTGGGCCTGTATGTCACTTAACGGAAACGGGACACAGGTGGGGAGGGAGGGGTGCTGTGTGCACAGACAGACCCACAACGCAGGGTCCATCTGCCCAAGGAAGAGAGGAACACAGGCGCGGCCGCCTGGGCATCTGCAGCACCGAGTCCGGCCACCCGGGAGGGGCTCCCTACACCCCAAGAAGCAAACGACCTGCGGGTCTCTAAGTCTCGGGCTGCTCCCCTCCTCTGGAGATGCTCAAAGGACTACAAAGCAGCTTGAAAGCAATAATACTCAGGCACACACACGCACACAAGCTACCTTAAACGCGAAGTACGGAATCAGTGCCGTTAAGGAAGGAGAGGGGCTCCACTCCACAGGGCAGCCAGCCCGGCCCAGGGCTTGCTCTGAGAGCAGAGCTGCGCTCCCATGACGGACGCGCCGGCGGACAATCTGAGCAGAAAGACGCTCACATCTGTTTATGCAGGAGTGCGTCTGCGAGAAGCACTCGGTGAACACAGAAGCTGCGCCCAGCTGCACGGAACACGCTGCAGCCCCCCACAGGCGCCCTGCAGGCCTCTCGGTTTGTGGCAGTAACGGTAAGGAGCAGCCTAGTCACTCCGCAGTCACAACTTCCCGCCGGCCGGGGAGCGGGAGCCCCCTCTGGCATCAGGGCGCCCACGGGCTGCACCTCTCCCATGCTCACACCCACAGGCATGGGCAGACGCGGGCACCTTGAGGTAGAGGGCCTGCCTGCTGCAGTCTCTGCTGCTCGGGTCAGGTTGCTATCCTCGTGGGTGTGTCCAGAGAAGGTTTCTGAGTGAGGCTCACCTAACCACATTTCCCCCACAAACAGCACGGGGGGCTGTGCTGTCATTTCAAGGTTTTTGCCACAGCGCTCGGAGAGGGAAAGTGAGAAACCACCTCTGGGGTGGAGGCATGGCCACGCTGTCATCCTTTCTGCATTCTCCTCTCGGGATCTTGGACACGCATGCACACACACTGGGTGCGATTTTCAAGCCACCAGGTTCGGGCTCAAACCAGTCAGCCATGAGGGATCCAGTACCTTAGCCACCGCGGCCCTGCTGCCCCATGCCACGGCTCTCGCTGCACTACTCAACATTGCAGCAACTCCAGGAGGACATGGTGTTTGTCACTGCAGGGCTGACAGACCGTATCCGACCTGGGGTTACACTGAACGCTATTCTTGTCCTGTGGGCAACAGCATCTTCAAGGAAATGACGGGGAAGCCCGTGGCCTGGTGGTTAAAGCTGAATCCCCATGGCCAACTATGTGGTTCGAGTCCCAGATCTGGCATGTGGGCTTACATGCCCCAAATCCTGTCAGGAGGAGAGCTGGAGAAGGGGCTGCAGTGTGACCGGGCCCCCCAGGGGATACCTCCTTGCTTTCCCTCTCTGGTAAATTATAAAACAAACAAAAACCAAAATGCCCAACAGAGCGTCTCTGTTCACCTTTCCCAGAAGCCCTGCCTCGGCCCCCTGGAGTCAGGCTGGAAGCCCTGGCAGGCGGTGCTGAGGGGTGTCTGAGGGTCTGTGGGAGTCTTGGCTATCGCCTTTCCCTGCTGTCAGCACCACAAACATCGTTCTCTGGAGTCGGCTCAGAGTGAGACGAGGGCAGGAACCCTGGGGCCGAGAGGATTTCCAGCCGTGGTGAGGAAGCGCCAGGTGCTGACCACGCTCCACCCTTGTATCAAGTTCTTGGCGTCCGGAGAGAAACAGGATGCCTGGCTCCGAGACGGTGCGGGGTTAGGAGGGCGCAGCTCTCCCCACTGTGCTTCTCCAGCCAGAATGCCGCAGTCCGACTCACTGCAAGACGGAAGATGCAGGGCCTGGCTCCCATTAAGTTTCTCGGCCTGCTTTGGGTGGGGGTCACTTCAGCAATGGCAGGGGGAGAAAAAGAACAGCTAAACACCCCTGTGGCTGTTCCGGGTCAAAGAAAGCAATAATACTCAGGCACACACACGCACACAAGGCAGACAATCCGCACGGGCACAAGCAGGTTACCATGCAGCAACGCCCTAGCCCGCACGGAACACCGCCCATCGGGCTCCGTGCACAGCTGCAGCCCAAGCAGCCCAAGGCCGGGGGAGCAGGGGGAAACGGCCACGTGCACAGGGTCGCCTGCGAAGAGGTGAGCTTCCTAGGAGAGAAGAGGTGAGCGCGATTCCAAAGCCACCAGGCCTCAGAACCGTCCAGATACAAAGCTACTATTCAGGTCAGAATGGGCAAGAGTCATAATGACCACACACACACCCAAATCCATTTCTGTGTGTGTCTCCTCAGAGGTGGTCTGAAGCAAGCACAGTGAGGGAGAGAGGAGGGCTGCTGGCAAGGCTTCGCCAGGTAACAGGAAAACAGTTCCAGGGTTTCTTCTCCCGTCCCCTTTATGAAGCTGACCGAGGAGAGCACAAGTTGAAGGGTTTTCCCGTTCCAGGCACTGGTAAAACCAGACCAAATTTAACTGAACACTAAGCTGCTTTTGCAGAGTTCCCCAAGTGAATGGATCACAGGGCAATCTAAACGGTGTTTCACCTTCTATGAATCACTTAAGAGGTAGTTTAAAATGATAAAAGACAAGCAAAATGTGTAGTAACAAGCAGACAAAATAACCATTCCAGAGTTCAACACTCAACTCCCGATCTTTACCTGTTGAGGGTTTTTCGGGCTGTGATAGGCTTTTTTTTTTTCCCTTTAATTGCCAGAGGGAGCATGTACCCGCGGGAGAGAGACAGAGACAGAGAGAGGGAAAACGTACGGGGCATGATCATGGTGCAGGCCCGTCTCCACTCTTCTGTACGGTTGGGATTTTCGTGCACACGCACACGCACGCGAGCAGAGCGTTTCTCAAGACAGTGGCGCTGGGACTCGAGCAGGGGTCGGCCATGTGGGATTCGGCTCCCTGAGCCACTAGGCAGCAGGATGGGCAAAAGCTTCTATTTGTCGAAATCGGAATGGAGGTGCACTGAAGATTCGCAGTAGGACATCACGACGTCAGGTCAAATAGCTCCGTCCCATGGGTAAAAGTCAAGATGCTTTGTGAAAGTAGGCCAACCTTCCTCTCCCTACTCGGGCAATTTACTCTTAAGAATTTTATTGACAATAAATTCTGTTTGATTTGAGTAATTACAGGAGATAAACCATGTTAGTGTTCTCCTTTCCCCCTGTATTAATGAATTAGGATACACAAAGACCTCAATAAAAATGATGTAAAGGCTTATGAGCAATCATTCAGAGTTTTCCTAATCACTTTCATTTCATAAAACTGCCATATCCATTAAAGCATTATGTAAAAAATGGGATTTTACTACACCAACATACATATTTATCATCAATGAATTTAAACATTGCTTATAAAGTAGAGTCCATTTTACAAATGAAATCTTCCAAAGGTAGATTTTTGTTTCTTTTAAGAGGTAAAAAAATGATTGGTGTCTCTCTAGAATCTCAGTGTATATTTTTAATCATTTTTCTTTCTAGCATTCTATTCTGTATGTCACATAATGTCTATATAAAACTCAGAACTAAACCTCCAAAGTGTGAAAGAGGTTTTTTAAAAAAGCAACATTAATTTGGGAGAAATTACAAATAGTCTTAAAATTGTTATTATTTTGGGGAGCCAGCCCAGTCGCCTCATGATTAAGGGAAGCAGATCTTAGACGACTGACCTCAGTTCAAATGCCACCCTGGCAGCTGAGAAATCCCCTGGTCACATGTGGGTACATGCCCCAAATCCTGAAGGACGAAATAATGGAGAAAGGACTGCAAGGTGACTCTGTCCCATGGGGGGGGGTCCTCTGACTCTGTCCCATGGGGTTCCTCTGTCTCTGTCTGGCATGCACACAGCCTTCTAGCAATTAAAAACAATTTTTTAAAATTCTCTTTAACAATCTGAATAAAGTCCTTTATGCCTGATACCATATGTATACTCATCAGTGAAAATTCCTGCGAGTTTGAAGAAGTTGACGTGAACTCTGACTGCTTTAACAGGTGTTTGGACGGGGCCAGGTGCTGGCGTAGCAATACTGCAATGGGACCCACCTGGGAAAGGTCCTGGGCTCACGTCCTGGGCCTTCCCTGGACGTGCCGGATGAGACTGGGGGGTGGATGGAGGTAGGAAGGCCCTGTTGGGGGTGCCTGTCCTTCCCTTTCTCTCATGAAATAAATTTAAAAAAGGTACTTAGATAAAGCTAAACACAGTTTGAACTTTCTTTCACCTTCCCCAAGGCCCCACTACTTGTGTTTTTATCATTTTAAATTTTCTTTTTTTTAAGACAGTAAGAAAATCTAGACATCACATTTTTTAAAAAGAATTATTTAACTTTCTTTCTTCCTTTTCTCTCTCTCTCTCTCTCTTTCTTTAATTTGACCAGACGGACCAGGCGAGAGAGAGAAAGTGAGAAAGCAAGCCACTATGTCCAGGACTTGAACCCCGGTCAGCTATGTGGGAGTCCAGCATCCTTAACCACCATGCCACCTGCTGGCCCTACATGGACATGTTTTTGAGTGCAAATAACACAATACAAGCAGAAATGTGCTTGTTGTTATAAACGAAGGGATGAAGAGTTGACTTTTAAGTCTTAATAAAAGAGCCTTAGATTTAAGATTACTTTTTAAATACACCACCGAAGATACAGTCCATAAAAAATAACAGATAAGCTGGGCTTCACTAAAAATAAAAACATCTGCTCTCCAAACAGTCAAGAGAATGAAAGACAAGACCAGCAACTGGGAGGGTGTATCTGCAAAAGGCCTGACGGGGGCTGCGAACCAACGTCCACAGAGAATGCTGAAAACTCAACAGCAAGGAGACGGACAACCCGGGAGCCAGTAGGGGCGTGATGGCTACATCAGGGGACTCCCAGGTAGTTGACTGTGGTTTGAGTCCTGGACCTGGCAGCTTAAAACTCCTGCGGGGCGCATGTGTGTGAATGCCCAAAATCCCCAGAGGAGAATGGAGAAGGAACTGCTGGGTGGCAGTTCCTCCTCGGGGGAGGGAGTGATTTCTCTGTCAGCACACATTTCCTAGAGCAAAAATCTCTCTCTTAAAAAAGGAAAGAAAAAAAGAAAAGAAAATTAACAATCTGATTTTTAAATCGGCAAAAGATCTAACAGCACCTCATCACACACATACGGAGGGCTCACGAACATCTGGAAGGGTGCTGGATATCACGTCTTTATGGACCCGCAAACTGAAAGACTGATACCACCACACACCTATCAGACGGCGAGGCTTTAAACCCTGCCAACACCAACCTTCGGCGAGGACACAGAGCAGCAGGGACTCTCACACGCCGCTGGTGGGAGTGCAGAAGGGTACAGCCACTTCGACAGGCATCTGGCAGTGGCTTACAAAACTACATGTTCTCACATCCAGTCCACACTCCTGTCCCTGGTCCTTACCTCGCCCACTGAGAATGGATGTCCACATGAAAACCAGCACGGGGCTGTCAATAGCAGGTTCACTGAAAACTGCCCAAACCTGGGAGCAACCTACAGTCTGCGGCGTGTGGACAGAGATCCAGTGAGACAGTGTCACGGCACTGAGACACACGAATCAAGCCATAAAAAGACATGATGAAACCGTCAACACGCATCACTAAGTGAAAGCAGACGTGTGGGGCTGCAGGCTGTGTGACCCCAACCCTGATGCCAGCAGGACAGAACTGTGGAGACAGTACGATGACGGGGCAGGGGCCTGACGGAAGAATGAGCAGAGGGAGCTCCGAGGATCTGCAGGGCAGCGGAACTACTGCGTCTGACCCTGTCACAAGGACATGTACAACAGCATCACGTTGGTCAAAGCCCAGAACGTAACTGCCAGGAGGGAACCCTAATGCAGCCCAGTGACTGTGGCGGCCATGAGGCACCGCTGCACGCTCACCAATGCACCACTGCGCCTCTCAGCCGTGGCACATGGACAGCAGGGAGGCCGTGCAGGGGACATGGGGACATGCGGGAACTCTGCACATTCTGTGCAGCTTGCTATGAGCCTAAACTGCTCTCAAAAAAGTCTAGGGACCAGCAGTTAGCATAATGGCTATGTCGCTGGACTCTCACGTAGTCAACCGCCGTTCGAGTCCCGGACTCGGTGGCTTAAAACCATGCCGGACTCGGTGGCTTAAACTCATGCCTGGCGCGTGCGTGCGTGCGTGCTCAAGATCCCGAGAGGAAAATGGAGGAGAAGGGATTGCAGCATGGCCATCCCCCCAGAGGGTGATTTCTCGCTTTCTGTCTCTCTGTGTCTGTCTTTCTGGTGAGTGCATGCGACCTATAGCAAAAACCTCTCCAAAAAAACCCAAACACACACACACACTGCCTAATAGGACGAGCAGGTGGTATGATGGTTACATTGTTGGGCTCCCGTGTAGTTGACCGGAGTTCAAGTCCTGAACCCAGAGGTTTAAACTCACAACATGAGGGTGCATGTATGCCGAAGATCTCGAGAGAACAATGGAGGAGTAGGGACTGTGGCATGGCCATTCTCCCAGCAGTGATTTCTTGCTTTCTGTCTTTGTGTCTCCAGCAAGTGCATGTGCCCCAGAGCAAAAATCTCCCCCCCAAAAAATAAATAAATAGATAAACCGTAAGAAACAAAAACCACATGATTGCAAAGCTTTTATTTTTGTTTCTAAAGCATTGATTTAGAACAATTAAAAATCAAAAAAGTCATTTCTCCAGTGAACTTACTCTGAAATTCTTAATTAGGAGTTCACCTCTTTGAATATCTGTTACTATGGTATCTTTCTTTCATTTTTTGAGGGAAGGGGTAACTTTAAAAAACGATCATGGTATAACTATGATGAAATCAGTATCAACACAAGTGAACATTTTTAGCACCGTCAACTTGAATATGAACGGCACACATTAACAGTTCACTTCAGATGCAGGTTTTGAAGCTGGCACCTAGGTGTTCATGGGAAACACGGCAGGAGCAGCAGTTAGCGCAGAGGAAGTCTGGCGTTCATGCAGCACACGTGTCGAGCCCGTGTGTGTCGCACTGTTCTGGGCTCCAGGACACGGCAACGCTTAGGAGACATAACCCCGTGGCCCAGCTCCCCACCCCACCACCCCCCATGGAGGCAGGGAAGGAATGAGCAGAGTTTGTCTCGTGCAGAGGAGAGGGTGATGCTGCTGGGGAGGGCGCAGGCCTGGCTCTGTGTAGCTCTCTACTGCACTGAGCAGACTCTGGTAGCTGGTTCCCCCAGAGCCAGTGTCCACAGGGACACGAGCAGGAGAGCGCCCCCTGCCTGAGGCAGATGGAAGCTCAGTGCCTTTTCTGAGTGTCACTTCCATGCCTGGAGCCTCCCAGGTGCAGGCGGTCATTAGTGAAGGAGAGGGATAAAGGCGTTTGTCCAGACTCTCCATTCTAGAAGGGGAAGACTTACATAAGAGATGGTATGGGGACTGGTGCATTGCAGGTAGGTAGAGAGAGCGGAAAATCAGAGGACAGCTTTTAATGAAAACACACTGTCCAAAGGGTAAGATTTAAATACAACAATAAGATCGCAGAGACTTTACTGGAGAGTAGCTGTGACCTCGCATTTAAATTTGTTTTTCCCACAGTGTTGTTTTGAAGCCTCGAGCACCATTTTATTGTCTTAACAAAGGCACGATGAATCAGGGCATCCAGAGGCAGAGTAACTCAAGCGCAGCCACACTGCCACTCTTCTCTTAAGGGAAGGAACAGGGCCAGCATAAAGATCTGCTGCTAAGACAGATCTTGGTTCAAATCCCAGCTCCACTACAAACTCGGGTTCACAACTTGAGTTAATAACCTAAGGACCATAACTGTGCCCACTTGCTAGGTCTTCTGTAAGAATTAAATAAATGAGTACTCAGGAAAATGTCTAGCACACACTATCAGATCACCCAGTGACACATCGCAAATGCCACCCTCCCCGTATGACCCAATGGGTTAACACAGCTTTCTCTAAGTTCCCATGGGGACAGACCATGGCATCCCGTCCCCATTTTCCCTGCTTGTCCCCGACACCTAGAGGCTGGGA